TTTAAGGTTAAAGGCATTATGGTAATTGTACCCTCTATACCCTAAAAATTACTAACAGTATTATTTTAAAAGTGAGTATCTAGAATAAATATAATTAGGGATACCAACATAGGATTTTGTCAACCCTTTGGTGGGAATATATCGTTACCTAGATTTTAATATGGATTCATGCATCATTAATGACAACACATGAAAAAGACGCAAGAAACTGAGAGGGTATGACCAGACAAATCTAAATTAAACCGTGTGCTGTGTGTTAGAATTCTCTCTATTAAATGGCAAGTTCGTAAATTCCTATGGGGAAAATTGTAGGAGTTAGTTGGGCCCGAATTGATATGCTGGGCCCAACATCTTGAAAATGTTGGAAACCATTTGTCTTTCGACGGGGACATGTGGGCTATGGTCAGTGGTCACCAAGCTTTGTCTGGACCATTTGGGACAGGGAGTATCTTCAATCTCATGTGTTACTGCATCAATTTTCTACGCAATCAACATGATTGAATTTGAAACTAATATGTTAAAATCTAAACCGAATTAAAATGTTAAAAAAAAAGTTGGATTTTGTTCTATGCTCATGTAAATAATAAAACGCCCAATGGTTTTCTGACAAATGGAGATCCTAATTTCTGGTAAAATCTATCCCTGGTACAAATGAATCTTTTGGTGATGATAATGCTTTGAAAAAGGAAGCGACTAGGAGACTTCCTTAGTCTGTCAAGTGGGCCACTACCAATGTAATGTCTTCTAGAACTGGGAAATGGGTAATTTATTGATTATTTTCAAACTGGGAAATATAAAAAACATTTAATGGTTCTGGTTTATGTTAAGGTATTTGCTCTGATTTGCTTCCATGTGGTGTGCCGCAACAGGCAACACCCTAAAGACTAGGTCTCGTTTGTAGGTTGTAAAAGTTGAACCACTAATCTTGAATTAAGACCATCTTATTATGACTATTATGACAATGGGCCATCGTCTATTACTAAATTAATTAAAATTTATAACGCTTCCTTATAGGTGTTCAATTCTTGTCATGTTCATTGAAAAGGAATTTTTAATAATTAACTCAATCCACTCTAATTCTGTTGGAAAGTTGAATCAGACTTATTTAAAATATCCCATACCAACGTTAATCTCAATCAAATCAATTATAATTAAAGACTTTCTCCAAATTACTCTTTAGATGACTCAAAATTTTTATTATAAAGAATTTATTTATCAAAATAAGAGTTCAATTGACTCTTTATTCTTTAAATATAAATTAAAAAGTGAGTTTAACTCTCTACATCTAAATAGTCAAATTTTACTTTTTATCTCTATTTTATTTAATAAATTATAAGTTTCTATGTATTTTATTATTAATTCTCTCTCCTATTAAGTTTATCTCTTATTTATTAAGTCTAATTTAAAGAGTTTATTGAATTTGAATATAAAATTTATTCTTTATATTTAGAAATTAATAAAAATATTTTTATCTATGTAAAATATGTTCTTTCATTAGAAATTAATAAAAAAAAATTTATCAATGTGAAATATGCTCTTTCATTGGTCATGTTTTAAAAGATAATATTAGTGAACCTGAAACACGTACTATTTTAAGCATGAGAAACTCATGTCGCACGGAGTAAATTATTGTGGCATTGGCTGGCCCCAATTGTATAGTACTTTGGCACTTTGCCAAGCCATTTCATGATAAGATGGAACCCATAAATGGCACGATAAGCAACGTGGGTTAGAATTTAGGCTGGATTTTTTTTTTTTTTTTTACCTGCCCACCAATAATCAACAGGCAAGATAAGTGGACGGCCATGGCCCTCCTTCTCCTTCATTCAAACACTGAATCTATTGCAAAATTATTCCAATCAAGATGGGGACCATAACACTGTTTTCATACTCAATAGGTGTATAAATGCTGTGTGTTTGTCATTTTCATAAAGCTATTAACTCCAAAGATTCATTATTTTGAGTAGGTATCCAAAGAATGCCTAATAAATTGACAAACTCGGAAAATATAGCAGTCCAAGACCCACTTAACAAATTCAAATGTATATGTTTTGCACGTGAGTTGTAACCTTAAGGTCCTCAACTACCATTTGCCAATGGATATTCCATTCCCTAATTAATTCATTACTCAAGTCAATCACATTGTTTATTGCTTTTATCAACTGCATAATTTTTGTTATCTCTTCTCGTAAAATAGAAAATTATAATCTCCACATATAACACACAAACCATTCCATTCTTCTTTCTTATTGCTTTCAAATTTTATATAATTTTTTTTATCTGTTCATAAAATAATGTCAGCAATACTCATAACATACAATATAATTCATACTAAATTTGGTATTTTCTTAAGAAAAATGCATTTGTATATTCCAATAGAATCAATTTACCCAGCCCAGTACAACCACCCTTAGAGGGCCCAAAAATATTCAATGAACAAGCCCATAGGTAAAATCCAGTCCAGTTTTTATGTGATCTTTAAACTGGAGTCAAGTTTGCTGTATAATCATAATGTACCCATTAAAGTAGAGCGCGTTTTGGGTACATTTTTGCTTGGGACTTGGGAGACCAACACTCGAATAGTTGGCTGAATCCTGGGCGAGGAATTCTAATCAGCAAATCTCACTATTGTCATCGCAAAACTGCACAATTCTGCTTCACTCAAGGCCTCTAAACAATTACAAAACCAGTTAAAAGGATTTGCAAGCCCAATATTTGATTATTACCCCGCAATCGGCATTTGGCAGTAGAATAAATAATCCCACAGCATATGGTCAGTCATAAATACAATTTATATGACTCGATTCTCACTTTATTAATCACAAGGTTATAATTAATTATATACATGTTTATACGATCTTATATAGGGGACAGTGCATGCATGTTGTGGCATTGGAAAGTATCGGACATCAACGGAGAAAGATTTTGATTTATGTTTTTATCCAAATGCCAAATAAGTATGTGTTATTTGATGGTCTCCTCTCCTGGCTCTTGTTTTCTTGCGCTGGAGATGCAATAAATTATATATGACATTTGACCTTTAGAAGTTAATTTGCTGAGTCAACTATCAATATAATTTATATATCCATTGTGTCAATATATTTACAAAACTCTCAATTATCAGAATCCTGTTGGGTTCCCGTCCCCTGCCTGATTGCATGAGGCAGGCTTTAATTGCCATGCGATTGTTGGATAAGGGATGCATTAGATGTGCCGTAATCACAGTCATTGTCAATGGGAGCCATAAAACCCAACCCAACCTAAACGTTGGGCCGGCTGCAATGGTTGTACAAGTCTTATTACAGTGGCCAGAGTGCAACTTGCAAATGTGAAGTCTCAAGTTTTGATCAGCATGTGAAGATGGAATTGATTGGTCTTCATCAAAACGTCTGACTTTCCTTAACAAAACGACAGAGTCGGCTCACCAGATAGATAGTCCCTAGAAAATTCTGCGTACAGAATACCTCCAAAAATATCAACCCACGTGCTTATCTTGTGCGTCAATAGGAAACTTAATAGAAACCTCCTCAATTCCAATTGGTTTTGGAATAAAATATCTTCATAAATCTTTGTAACGTTAACCCCTGGAGAGTGACTTCAATTTCCACACAAAACTTGTTTCACCGACCCTGGATTCCGACAAATAACTTGTTATTAACGTGCAAACCTTATCTCTTCTGTCGATAATTCATATTTTCCAGACACTAGTCTGGAACATTTCAGATGCTGTTTTTTTAATGAATTGTTTAATCGCATGTAGCATTTCTTTACATTTTAGTTTAAGGGACAATGACCCCTAAGCTTGGGATTATTTACAATGATCTTTCTGAGGTTAACTTAGAACCAAATGTTTTCAGAAAAGAATCTTACAAGCATGAAAATTTAATTTGTTTAATATATGTAAATTATTATTTTTATTTAAATTACATGTTTCTGAGAGGTACTTCTTTAATTTGATTTTAAAGACTAATAGAATCATTCTTAAATTATTTTTTTTTTGAATAATTAGTAATTTTATAAAGAATAAAAAAGTATAATATAAACGGGACAAATCCAAAACAGTACAACTCTGAATAGTAAAGGGATGACGCCAAACAAAAAGAACAAAGGAGCCCAGATATACACCCTTTACACACCCAAGTCCCAACCACACCCACATGAACAACCGAAAAAAAGGGGCCAGGGGTGGCTATATAGAGGCCCTTTACACGGCCAAGAACCATTCTTAAATTAAGAATTTATCTTTACGAGATTGAAAAAAAAAAGTGAATTATATACTAAGATTTTTAAAACCGTAACTTTTAAGAAGATATTCCTTAACTATGGATAGAAGAGATGAGGTTTGCACGTTATTGTCCCTTGAAACTAAAATGGAAAGAAATCAATGGTCCTAACCTTAGAAAGATTATTGTAAAGGTTAAACAATTCCACTGATCTGATATCATAGGAGATATAGGACCCCGTAAAATGGAGTGGCATCTTCTAGAAATATAGGACTAGACGATAATGATTTTGTCACCCATATCACAGTTGGATTAAAAGTAGAGGGTTATCATGAATCATGATATAGGACCCCGTAAAATGGAGTGGCATCTTCTACAAACCAAACTCACTTTGGATTCGATAATTAATATTGAAAAATTGAGAAATATACTAAAGTTTAACTTATATGATGGATAATATCAAAGAAATGATTTTCAAAGTCTAGGCATAAAATAAACAATATTCATGCTCTATTAATAAGTCAAATCGAAATAATACATTTCATTTATTCTATTTAGTCTCCGATAGTGTAGTCCTACACTCCCACACATCCAACTCATCGTTCCTATCAAAACAGTAAAAACCGGACCCACTTTTAAATTTTAATCATAGAAAAGACGAAACTGGCGTAGCCGGTTAAAAGGTTTTAAAAAAGTACAGATGATACCCCCCACCTGTCCGTTCTTATCCGTTTTGTCAATTTTCTTTCTCCCTCTCAATCCAATTTTTTCCCTTCAAATACTAACCCAAATCAACTGTCAAACTCCATCTCTAATCTAGTAATCTCTCTTGAAGCTTTCTCTATTTCTTACAACACAAAAACCCTCAACTCCGGTTTCTCCTCTCTCTTTCTTTTAAACACACACAACACCAGATATGGCTACCAATCTCCTTTCTTTCAGGCCTGCAGGAGTCCAAGCCAGAGCATCACGGGCTCCCCGAAAACCCGATTCCAACAAACAGGGGAGTCCTTCCTCCAACTGGTGGACCCCGCTTTTTGGCTGGTCCTCCGAACCTGACTACATTGACTCCAACGGTAAACCAGATCAGTCGGAATCTGATCCCGAGATGAAGTCTATGAAAGCTTCTCGGTTCACGCCGGGTTGCTTCACGGAGGAGAAGGCAAAGCAGCTTCGGATGATGACAAAGGACACCTCTTTTCATGACGCCATGTACCACTCAGCCATCGCCTCTCGCCTCGCTTCCGATTTCAAGTTTCAATCGGAGTCGGAAAGCTAATATTAGACCCGGATCAGTAATTTTTTTTTTTTTTTAATAATTAGAATTATAGTTTTATAATTTGTAAGGTTGTGTAAGTCCGACTTTTAGGGATGAAATGCTGATGAATGATGTATGGTTTAGTTGGTTACGTGGAAGAAGGTGATCTGATTAAGTGATGTAATTATATGTTAAACAACTGATAAACTATGTAATTATTGTTTCATATAATGTCACTTTTAATTATTTTTTATTCCTTGTGAAAGAAGTTTTATGGAATCTTTTAATAAACCTCAATTTGTGGTTTTAGTAAGTAAAAAGATGATTTGACATATACCAGATTATCACAAAACCATTGGATTCAACTGATTAAGAATTAATAATTAGGACCCTGGTTTATAAGACTTAGAGCATAGTGAACGGTCAAGATATAAGAATGAAAGAAACAAGATTCTTCAAGTTGTCAATGGCATATTCGGATTCTGAGTTCTGACTTCCGACTGGATCCCGGTTCTTTCGAGGCAGTCTTTAAGCATCCAACAAGAAGATGCTTTTGTTTTAGGATATTTGCTGAATGATCTTTTTTTCTTATATTTGTTTTTTATTAATTATTATTATATGGATTCCAATGTGTGCCGAGGATTATCTCCCCTCGGATATTGGCTCCTTTAAGTTTTAGTTATGTTTTATTTCTCTGTTTAATATGTTATGTTTTATTTTATGTTTAATATTTGGGTCTTGCGCTATCCTTATCATTTGAGGTGATATTACACATCCAAGAGGTTGAACTTACGTACATGGAATCCTCTTCAACTTTATCTACGTTTACTGCTCCCATAAATACTAGCTTATCTAGATCTTCTTCTAAGGTAGACAGTTTGTATAAAATATCTTATATCCCAGAAAATCAAAAAATCCAAGAAACTATCCCTCCCATTGTAAATCCTTATACAGCCTTTTCCAAGTCTTCGTCTTCTTTGTCTAAAACCTTTAAAACTCTTGTCAGACCTTCCAGAAAGCCAATCAAAGAGTATGTCCACACTAGTACTTTTGACAAGTGTCAAATTCCAGCCACAACCCAAGAACAATATGTTACTTTGGAAATCCCTCAAGAATCCATTACTCAATGTATCCGTGAAGGATACTCTCATGTACACTTTGGCGCTATCCGGCTCGCCCTATCTTATCATGGAAGAAAATGACTCCCAGTCTCTGTTCGAATTGTTTTATTGGACACCAGATTTGTCCAATATCAACATGCTTGTATAAGGACAGCACATACAACTTTGAATGTTGGGACAGTCATTATGACACTGTTTCCTAATTTCAACATGTCCCTCTCTGATGTTCATTGCTCAAAGGCTCTTAAAGTTCAATTACAGATCGTTGGTGCAGATTTAAATCCAGTGAGTATTGCAGCTACTTTGCATTACCAAATGATTTAAACCGAATTGATCAGCTCCAATACTCCTTGGATTTAAATCTGCACCAACGATCTGTAATTGAACTTTAAGAGCCTTTGAGCAATGAACATCAGAGAGGGATATGTTGAAATTAGGAAACAGTGTCATAATGACTGTCCCAACATTCAAAGTTGTTTGTATTGTCCCTATACAAGCATGTTGATATTGGATAAATCTGGTGTCCAATAAAGCAATTCGAACAGAGACTGGGAGTCTTTTTCTTCCATGATAAGATAGGGCAAGCCCGATAGCGCCAAAGTGTACATAAGAGTATCCTTCACGGATCCATTGAGTAATGGATTCTAGAGGGATTTCCAAAGTAACATATTGTTCTTGGATTGTGGCTGGAATTTGACACTTGTCAAAAGTACTAGTCTGCACATACTCTTTTACTGGCTTTCTGGAAGGTCTGACAAGAGTTTTAAAGGTTTTAGACAAAGAAGACGAAAACTTAGAAAAGGCTGTATAAGGATTTGCAATGGGAGAGATAGTGTCTTGGATTTTTTGATTTTCTGGGATATAAGATATTTCATACAAACTGTCCACCTTAGAAGAAGATCTAGATAAGCTAGTATTTATGGGAGCAGTAAACGTAGATAAAGCTGAAGAGGATTCCATGTGCATAAGTTCAACCTCTTGGATGTGTAATATCACCTCAAATGATAAGGATAGCGCAAGACCCAAATATTAAACATAAAATAAAATATAACTTATTAAACAGAGAAATAAAACATAACCAAAACTTAAAGGAGCCAATATCCGAGGGGAGGTAATCCTCCGCACACACAGAAATTGGAACCAATAAGGAGCTTAAAGAAGCCAATATCCGAGGGGAGATAATCCGCCGCACACGCAGAGATTGGAATCCATAAGCGGTTTGGATTTGATACCACAAGGGTTACTAGACCTTAAAGATGCTGTCAGAAAATCATGGAGTTTATGCATGTGGGAAATTATGATACGCGGCCTAAGCGGAACCAATCAACACAACGATCAATCAAAATGATGGTCAAGGCCCTCCTTTTATCCCACACACATGTACACCCACACAGGTTCTAACATCATCTAAAAGGGCTAGTGAATATTAAACAACAACATAAATGGAGAACATAAACATAAATGAAGAACATGTACAAAAATGAAGAACAAGAACATAAATATTAAACATGTTAAAGAACATAAATTAAAAACATATATGTGATCTTTTGCTATCTATAACATTATAAGAGTATTACAACATCCTTGAGGTTGAGGGAAAGTTAGAAATATGAAAGAAACGTGGAAGAATTATAGTAAAGATGCGTAGAGAAAGTATGGAAGTGTAGTGAAAATATAGAAGAGAAAAGTGAGAGAAATAAACAAGGGATACAAGGGATACAACCACTCATAAATGAGTCATTAAATACAAGACTAACCTTTTGGACTTTGATTTTTTTTTTTTATTTATTTACATTAAGTAGCCTACAATTCTTGACTTTTTACGAAGGATACGGGAGATATTACATTGAGATGGTAAATTACCATTTAGTCCACCCCTATTTTAAATAAAGGACACAACTATTTATTTTAACACACGTGGGTTGTTAATCATCTGACAAATTGGTAACGTGCCACGAGTCTTCATCCTGGAAGTCGAGACAACCTATTGATTGTATCCAGTCAACAGGGATTTGAGATGTATTTGGATGAGTCTCCAAAGAAATCTTTGGAATTTGAGATGTTGGCTTTGTAGACGTACTTGGTGCATGCATGTATTGTTGTCGCCTGGATTTATGGAGATAGTAATTATGAGATTGCTAAAGCTCTTCTTCTTGCACAGTATCTGGTTGTGAGTTCGGGTACCACCATTCTGGATAAGCTGAATTGTCATCGAATTGAGTATTGATGGAACATATGCATGTCTGTTTGGCTTGGAGTAATTTCTCAGTGTAGTCTGGAGGAAAGAGTTCCCACGGAGCATCATCATGAAAGGATGGCCATAGTGCATCTGGAATGATCTGATTTTTTTCAAAAAGGATTTTTTGAATTGATCTAGTCTCAACAGGATGATCAAACATATTATGGACGAGGTCATATGGATAAGACCGATGAAATGTGACTTGATGCTATGAAAAATATAGGCCATCAGATCTGCTGGAGTGATGTCTGTGAAAAAACATTATAGACCATGCCATTTTGGTAGAAATAGGATCTTTGTACTGGGCAAGTTGGTGAGCAAACACAGATTTTCATTTGTCTAAGGTTTTGAACCATCGGAGAAAAGTCATCAAAGAGCGTAATTTAAGGGTTGAGGTTGACTGATATTGGGAAATTATTTTCAACATATCATGGATCGGGAATTGAATAGCAATGTAGTATTGGTGTAACATATACCAAAAGAACCATAATAATTCTTCTGGAAATATAATATCAAGACCTGGAGGTACACAAAAGATTTTTGAAAAGGGATAATCTGGATAGACCCCTAACATATCATACATGGATTGACCACATTTTTCAATGCATTGAAGTTGGTAAGAAAACATAAGGGCAGTATCATTTTCATCAATGGTACGCATCCGAACAAGGTCAACGAATTCAGGACGGACGTCTGGAGTATGGTTTGGTGAAGAAGATGATAAACAGGAACTAGACTGGGTTAATGGTTGGAACATGAAATATGGAAGAGGTTTGGATCTAGGGTTCATGAAACCAAGTTGTTTCGGTTTGGGTCTGGATAAATAATCTGCAATGGTATTGGTGTGACCTTTGATATGTTGGATGGTGAAGGAATATTTACTGAACCATTATGCCTAGTGAAGTAACTGCTGATGCAGAACCTTTTTCTTGTGGAAACGAAGCATTTGATCAAAAGACTTCATATCCGTTTCAACAAAGAAATGATGTCCAACAAGGCGAAATTCAGACCTTTCAATGGCATTTTTTACTACTAATACTTCCTTGAAAGTAGAATGATAATGCTGCTGGTGTGGTTTGAATTGTCCACTCTGGTATCCGCACAAATGTCTTACCTTGTCGTCATCTTGTTCAAAAAGCAGTGCACCCCAATGAGTATCACTAGCATCCGTTTGAAGAATGCATTTCCCCGAAGAAGGAATCTTCAACGACTGTGTATGGAAAGATGCGTGCTTGAGACTCTTGACTGCATTTGTCTGCTTTTCAGACCACTCTGGAGGATTCTTCTTAAGCATTTGGGAAAGTTGAGTAGTGAAACCAAAAATGTTGGGAATGAAACTGCGCATGTAATTGGCAATTCCCAAAAATTGTTGAATTTCTTTCTTGGTTGTGAGAACATCTGGGAATTTTTGTAATTCATTAGCAATATGAGGGTGAAGATCATACTTGCCATCAGCAATCACCATACCAAGAAAATCAATCTTTGTTTGTCCTAACTGCATTTTCTTCTCAGAGAGCATGATACCATAAGTGTGGATGATATCAGCAAAGTCACGAAGAAGACGTATATGAGATTCCTCATCTTTTGAAAAGAGAAAGATATCATCGATATAAATGAGACATGTACGCAGAAGGGGAGCAAAAATCTTCGTCATGGCTTTCTGAAACAGGAAGGAGCGACTTTAAGTCCAAAAGGCATGACTGTCCACTGGTAGTGTTGATTGGGAATGCCGAAAACAGTCTTATGACGATCATCAGGATGAATTCCAAGTTGCCAAAATCCAACTTTGAGATCAAATTTGGAAAACATCTTTGCATTATGGAGATTTGCAAAAAAAACTTGTCTGGAAGGCAGAGGAAATTTATC